TCCCCGCCCGCAGCCGCCGCAGGGTGCGGGTGCGGGTGCCCGGCACGGTGCCCAGGTGAGGGAGGCTCGGCGGGTCCCGGGGGCTCCCTCGGAGCCCGGCGGGCTGGAGACGCCGTGGGAGGGAGCCGGGCCGGCCCGGCGGCGTCGGCACCCGCGGGCGAGGCTGCGGTGCTCCTGCCCGGCCGGCCCGGCTGGCTCGGGAGCCGCCGGGGCCGGGAGCTGCCTGCCCCGGGAGCCGCCGGGGCCGGTGCCAAGAGCCGCCCCGTCAGGTCTTCAAAGCGCCCGCCCCGACACCGCCTCGTCCCTCCGGTCGGTACCTGCCGGTGCCACGGTGCCGGAGCCCGGGGGTGCCGGGGGTGTCGGAGCGGCAGTGCCGTCCCGCCCCTCACCCCGACGCGGTCCCGGGGTCTCGGCCGCGCCGCGGAACCCTCCGGCCCCGGCTCGGCGTGTCGGAGCGGCTCAGCCGGTGCGAGCAAGGTGCCAGTCCGGCGCGGTGCCACCTATATCACCACCCTGGCAGTGCCACCGCCCCGTCCCTCCGCCGCCCTTCGCCCTTCGCGTCCCCGATGCCCACGGGCCGCGGTAGCTGCGGCTCCGGGGTGCCCCTGTCCCCCCCTCGACGTGCGTCAGCCGGGCTCCCATCGCGCTCCGGGCGCCAGATGTGCCCGTGCCAGATGTGCCTGTGCCAGATGCGCCTGTGCCAAATGCGCTCTCGGCGGAAAAATGTGCGTGCCGGGGCCGGGGCCGGGGCGGGCCGGGCCGGTGCCGCCCGCATTCCGCGGCGGCCGCGCTGGCTCTGCCCCAGCGGGCACTGGGCCGGCGCTGGCTGCCGCTCCCTGACGGGCTCCCGCACCCACGGGGTGTCACGGGTGGGTGTCGCGGGGGGTGTCACCGGTGGGCGGGTGCCGGCGGGGCTCCCCGTGGCGCCGCGGGCGCGCGGTTGGACCGTGAGTCACGGCGAGACGGGGCCGCGGCCCCGCGTCCTTGGACTCCACACCGGTGTCGGGTGTGGGAAAGTGACGTCGGCGTTGGGGTGTAGATGTGGATGTCGGGGTGCAGAACACGGGCCTCGGGGCGCTGATGTGGATGTTGGGGTGCAGACCTGGTCGTTGGGGTGCAGATGCGGGTGTTGGGGCCCAGGCTGTGCCAGGCTGGCAGCGCTCAGGGTGCCCGAGGCTGCACTTTTCCCAGCAGCTGCCAGCCCTGCTGTGGGTGCTGTGGGTGACACGGGTGCCGTGGGTGCTGCCGTGGGCAGAGCTGTCAGCCCCATGCTGCTCTGAGGGGCTGTGGACTCCCATCCTGTGCCAACTCCTCTGGGGATCCCCAACCCTCAGAGCCCCGAGGAGGGATGTCCCGGGGGGACACAGCACCCAGTGGGGCGCGACCCCCAGAATCCCCCCGTGGTTCCCATGGCCAGCAGTGTCACCCTGTCAGGGGGGTGCAGTGGGAGATGGGTGCCTGGGGAGGGGCATTCCTCCAGTGCTGCCAATACCCCTGCCCGACGGGAGCACCCGTGGGTGCCGTGGGGCGCAGGGTGGGGTGTTGGGTGCTGTCCTGGGGTGCTTGGTAGGAGCGGAGCCGCTGGCAGGGGTGGGAGCAGCCACTGATGTGAGCAGGGGGCACCTAGTGGGGCTGTGGGGCTCAGCCTCTCCATCTTCGGGGTCCTACAGCCCAGGGGATTGGGACCCTGAACTCCCCAGGAGGGGCCCTGGGGCTCTGAGCCCCTCAGCTGTGGGACCTGGACCTGGCAAACCTTCGGGGGCCTGAGCCCGAGGATGGGGGCAGCAGGGGTCCTGTGGCACCGGGGCATGGGCTGGGGTTGCTGGGAGGTCCCTGGGCTGGGGGAGAAGGTGGTGCCATGGCTCTCAGAGGAGCTGGGGGTCCCAGCTGGGAGCTGAGGGGCCGGGTAACCCCTGACCACGTGGCCAGAGGAGTTTTGGGAACCCTCAGTATGGGGCCAGAAGGGTCCTGAGCTGGGAACGTGGGGGTCCTGGGCCTCTGGGGTTTGTAAATCTTGGGGTCCCGGGGTGTGGGGACTGGGGGTCTGACAGCACAGGTGTAGGGGGTCTGACAGTCCCCACAGGGCTTGGGGACCCCAACCCCACAGGGCTTGGGGACCTAGGGGTCCCGAGGTCTTAGGGTGTGTGTGTGTGTGTGTGTGTGTGGGTCTCAACCCCCGGGCTTGCGGACCTGGAATTCCCAAGGTCCCAGAGGGTGGGGCAGAGGGTCTGGCAGCTCCGGGTGGGAGGATAAAGGTTTCTGAGCACCACGAGCTTCAGGACCGGTGGTCCCACCCCCCGCGCTTGCAGAGCCGGAGGTCCGGCGGCCCCGGGCGTGCGGCAGAGGGTGCTCCGGCTTCCCGTGGGGTGCCCCACGGCAGGTCCGCGGATCTGTGCCTCATTCCGGCCGCCGGCGCGGGGAGGGAAGGGTTAAAGCGGCGCCGTGGGCTCGGGAGTTTCCTGTGGGCAGGGTCGGGGCGTGGGGCGGGGGGATGGAGCCCCGTCTCCTCCCCGAGCCGCCCCACTCGCGGCGGGACCGGCAGCGGAGCGGGAGGCGAGACGAGCTGTGTCGGGGCTCAGCCATGTCCCGACAGCGGCGCAACCCGGAGGAGGCTCCGGTGGCGGCCACCCGGACGGGCTCCGAGGACAACCTGTACCTGGCCGTGCTGCGGGCGGCCGAGGGCCGCAAAGGTACCGCGCCGAGGCGTGCGGGGGGGCCCGCCCCACCATCGCATCCCTCACCTGGGGCCGTGTCCCCAGGGCGGGCTGCGGGACAGACTCCCAGAGCAGGGCGGTGTCCCCGGGGGAGACCCCCACGCTGGGGCGGTGTCGCTGGTGGAGGTGTGCCCCCAGGTAGCCTGTGGGGCTGGCTGTGGGGCAAACTCTCACACCGGGGCGGTGTCCCCGGGGCAGACCGCCACGCCGGGGCAGTGTCCCCGGATTAGCGTCCCCAGGGCAGCCTATGGGGCAGGCTGTGGGTCAGACCCCCATGCTGGGGTGGTGTCCTGTCCCCGGCGGGCTACGGGGCAGACCCCCCCCATGCTGGGGCAGTGTCCCTGGGGCGGGCTATGGGGCAGACCGTGGGTCAGACGCCCACGCCGCCGCCCATCCCCATCGCCGGTGCCCGTCGGTCGCTTCCTGCCACGCCCTGCCCGGCCGCTCTGGCCTGGCTGCCGCGGTCTCTCCTCCTCTGCTTTGGGGTCGGCGCCGCCGTGAAGACCCCCTGGGTGTCAATATTCCCGGCGCGGGTGCCGGGGCGCGGTGTGGGTGCCCCCGGCCCGGTGCGCCGTGTGTGTCCCGCGCTTCCTTCCTTCCTTTCCTTCCTCTCGCACCGCGGCCGCTCCCGGCCCGGCACGCCCTGGCTGTGCCGCTGAGCGCCCTCGGGGCCCCGTGGGGCAATCCTGGGTGCGCGGCGTCCCCGTGTGCTCGCCCGGGTCGGGGGGGGGGTGTTGGCTGTGAGGTGCTCGGGTGCCGCGTGGGCAGATCCCGGCACGCTCCGGCGGGGCAAGACCCGGCACGCAGCGCCCGGCTCGCCGCGGCGTGGGCAGGGGGGCGTCGCGGCAGCCGTGGGGCCGGTGGCGTTGCCCCACGTGCGTGGAGTGTCCCCGCCGGTCACCGGCCTCTCCCGGGCACCGGACTGGGTCTGGTGCTGGTGGTGACACTGGGGGCCAGGGGGGACGGAAGGATGGGTGCTGGTAGCAGGGCACAGGGGGGTGGGTTTGTTAATGGGGTGCAGGGCGGAGGGTGCTGGTAACAAGGTGCGGGGTAATGGGTGGGTTAGTGAGGTGTAGGGCAGTGGGTGCTGGTAACGGGGTATAGGGTGGTGGGTGGGTTAACAGGGTGCAGGGCAGTGGGTGTGGGTAACGGGGTATAGGGTGGTGGGTGGGTTAACGGGGTGCGGGGCGGTGGGTGCTGGTAACAGGGTGCAGGGTAATGGGTGGGTTAGTGAGGTGTAGGGCAGTGCGTGCTGGTAACAGGGTATAGGGTGGTGGGTGGGTTAATGCGGTGCAGGGCAGTGGGTGGGTTAGTGAGGTGTAGGGCAGTGGGTGCTGGTAACAGGGTGCAAGGTAATAGGTGGATTAGTGAGGTGTAGGGCAGTGGGTGGATTAGTGAGGTGTAGGGCAGTGGGTGCTGGTAACAGAGTGCAGGGCAATGGGTGGGTTAGTGAGGTGCAGGGCATTGGGTGTGGGTAACGGGGTATAGGGTGGTGGGTGGGTTAGCAGGGTGCAGGGCAATGGGTGGGTTAGTGAGGTGTAGGCAGTGGGTGCTGGTAACAGGGTGCAGGGCAATGGGTGGGTAAGTGAGGCGCAGGGCAGTGGGTGCCGGTAGCGGGTGCTGGGGGGTTGGGTCCCGTGGCTCCTGGATGCCCATCCTGATGCGTCACCATTCCCATCCCATCCCCTAATGACAGGGCAGCGGGCAGGGAGTGCCGTGACTCACTGTGGCCCCGTTGGCCCTGTGCCCGTGGCAAGGGGTGTCCCGGGGGTGTAGGGTGTCCCGGGGTGTCCCGGGGTGTCCCGGGGTGTCCCGTGGCTCCAGCGGTGCAGACAGTGCATAGGCTCACACCGGTCCCATGCACATCCCAGCGGGCCCCTGCCTGTGGGGCTGGGGCTGTGCCGGGGCTGTGCCAGGGCTGTGCCGTGGCCTTGTCCCTGTGCTGTGCCTTTCCCGCTTGGTCAGTGCCCACAGAACCCAGTGCTGGGGCTCCCTTCCCGCTGTGGTGCCGGGGTCTCAGGGCTGGGTGGGCACCCCGTGCTCTCTCTGGTGCTGCTGGGCGCTGCTGGGTGCTGGCGGGTGCTGGCACAGCGCTGGCACGCTGGGGCCGATCCCCGTTAGCTGTTTCCTTCCCCCACACCCCGTGACTCACCACGGTTCCCCGGAGCTGTTGGCTCATAGTTTCCTGCGCCATCTGTGCCCTGCGGTGCCGCCGGCGGGGCCTGGTTCTTTGCTGTGCCACGACCCAGGTGCCGCCGGCTCACCCGCCCCTCTCCTCTCTTGCAGATGAGCGAGACCGTGTCCAGAAGAAAACTTTCACCAAATGGGTCAACAAGCACCTCATCAAGGTACGGGCACTGCCAGCCTGGTGGGCACCACTGCCCCAGCAGCCCCCAGCCCTCAGCCCTGGAAGCATCCCTGGTTGCAGCCCCCCGTGCCGACGTTGCCAAGGACATGGGCAGTGGAGGGTACCCTGTGCCAGTGCGAGTTCTTCTGTGCCTCGCTGGTAGTCGAGGCCTCTCAGCTGCCTCCACGGTGGGGGTCTGCCCTTGCAGGCAGGAGCTGCCCCCCCTGCTGCCCTCCCATGTGTTCCAGGAGGTGCCCCTGGCATGTGGGAACGTGTCCTGGGCTTTGACACCCTTGGTCCTGTCCCACTCCTGTGGTCCCCGTTCCCTGCCATGGTGCTGGTGCCCGTCCCTACAGTGTGGTGGGCAGAGCCCCACCTCAGCACCCAGCACACACTGGGATGTCCTGCAGCCCCCGTAGGGATGTGTCTCCACATGTCCCCAACCCCACAGTGCCACCCCCAGCCCGCCCTGGGTCCTCTCTTTGCTCTGTCCTAACCTCTCTCTTCTCTCTGCCCTGTGCAGCACTGGCGAGCAGAGGTAGGTCCTTCCTCTCTGTCTGTCCCACTGTGCTCTTCCTCTTCACACACCCTCCGCTCCCCTCACCGGGGAGGGATCCCTGGGGCTGCCAGCGTGGTGGGCAGCGGGACCCTGTGCATGCCAGAGTGATGCTCAAGTGACGCCAGAACGATGCTGGATCCCTCCTGGCGCCGTGGGGGGAGTTGCTGTGTGTGTTTGGGGGGGATGTGACACTGGGGGGGGCACCGGCTGTGCTTGGGGCCGTGTGTGAGCACCCTCTGCACCGGGGGGGGGGGGTCACCGGGTGCCCACCCCAGTGCTGGCTGGCAGGGATGGGGGGGGTGCTCGGCCGCCCCCAGCCCCCACTGACGCCGTTGCTGTCCCCTCAGGCGCAGCGCCATGTCAACGACCTGTACGAGGACCTGCGGGACGGGCACAACCTCATCTCCCTGCTGGAGGTGCTCTCGGGGGACACGCTGGTAGGTGCCGCGCTGCCCCCGCCCCGCGCTGCCCCCGCTCCTCTGCCAATCGTCCTCGTCCTCGTCCTCGCTGCCCGCCTCCGTCCTCATCCTCGCTGCCCGCCTCTGCTCCCTCTCCTCCCGCCTGGCCGTCGGTCCGTCCGTCCCGGTGACCCCGAGCGCCCGCGCCCCCCCCCCCCCCCCCCCCCCGCCTCTAACCTCTCTTTGCTTTGGTGCCCTCTCTGCTTCCTGGCGCCGGCCCCCGGCCCACCGCCGCCTTTGCCTCCTCCTCCTCCTCCTTCCTCTCTCTGCTCCTCTCTCCGCTCTGCTCGGGCCGGGGCAGCCCCGGGAGCGCGACGTCCTCCGGACCTTGCGGTTGGTGAGTGGTTCTTGCCGTGGGCTTTGGGCACGGCCCTGCATGGCGACCGACGCCGCGGTACCGGCACAGAGCGGTGCCGAGCATGTCCTGGGGCTCCGGCCGTGTGCCGTGTGCCATCCTGGGGCTCCGGCTGCATGCCGTGCCTGTTCCGGTGCCCCATCCGATGCCAAGGGCCACGGGAGTGGGTTTCTCTGAGCCAGACCTTGGCGGCGGTGGCAGGAGAGGAGCGTGGCGTCACTGGGAGCGATCCCACTGCTCTGGGTTCTGGGTTCTGGTGGGCTGGAGTTGGACTGTGGCTCCCAGCACCACGGCAGGATGTGCCACTGGCTCCCTGGGGCGGCTGGCAAGGGGGTTTGGCACTGTGGCCACCAACCCCGGGCTCTCATGCCGGGGCTGATCCTGGCCTTGATGGGCTGTGAGTCCTTGGTGACTCCCAGCTGTGGGGTGGGAGGAACCCTGGCCCATTGCTGAGCGGCATGGGGAGGTCTGAGGGCTCCCCAGCTCTCCCAGCAGCGGAAGCTGGGCTCAGCTGGTGGGGCCAGCATGTGTGGAGGGGGGGGTGTCCAGGCAGACCCCGGCTGGGACCCCCAAGTTTTGGGGGTGCTCACCCAGCTCGGCAGCGCCCGGTTCTGCTGAGGGGGGGACACCGGAGCGTGCTGGGGAGCTGCATGGTGAGGGACCGTGGTGCTGTGGCATCGAGGCTGGCACCGGTCCTGCCCGGGCAGGGGCTGCTGTGCCCACATGCCGGGTACTCAGCTGCCCCCAGGATGGCCCCGGCACTGCTGGGTGTGGGGTGGGAACAGCCTGTGCCGGCAGGTCGGCGGGGGGAGCGTGGGGAGCGTCCCCACCCCTGCAAGGGGGCAAAGGGCGAGGGCGGGTGCCATCGGCATGTGCGGCAAAGGGAGGGGCCGGGTGGGGAAGCCGGTGTGTGACAGTGTCGTGGCGGGACAGTGTCGTGGCATTGGCAGGGCCCTGGCTGGGGAGAGGGCTGGGGCTGTGCCATGGCATCGCAGCGGGGCCGTGGCGGGGGGCCGGGGTGGCAGGACGCAGCGGGGCTGTGCCCACGGAGGCTGCGCTCACTGCCCCTCTCCCCCCCCAGCCCCGGGAGAAAGGCCGGATGCGCTTCCACAAGCTGCAGAACGTCCAGATTGCCCTCAACTACCTGAAGCATCGGCAGGTGAGAAGGGGGGGGTGGGACCCCCGGGATGCCCGGGACCCCCGGGGCTGTGCCATGCTGCTCCTCCATCCCTGAGCCATGTGTGTCCTGTGCCACAGGTGAAGCTGGTGAACATCCGGAACGATGACATCGCCGACGGCAACCCCAAGCTGACGCTGGGGCTCATCTGGACCATCATCCTCCACTTCCAGGTGAGCCCGGCGGGGCGGGGATGGGGACGGTGATGCCAGGGGGTTCTGTGGTGCCAGTCTGGTCCCTGCGTGGGGCAGGAGCGGCGTCACCGGGAGCTGCCATGGAGCGAGTGTACCTTTGTTGGTGCTGGTGCCCGTGCCTGGACTGACAGCCGTGTCCTGGCAGATCTCAGACATCCAGGTGACGGGGCAGTCCGAGGACATGACGGCCAAGGAGAAGCTGCTGCTGTGGTCGCAGCGGATGGTGGAGGATTACCAGGGCCTTCGCTGCGACAACTTCACCACCAGCTGGCGGGACGGGCGCCTCTTCAACGCCATCATCCACCGGCACAAGTGAGTGCCAGGGTCGTGCCACACGGCACACGGGCGGGCGTGTGTTCACCAGGGTCAGCCACATCGATCATGGGGGTGGGGTGTGCTCACTGGGATCAGCCACATAGATCATGGATCATGGGGTGTGCTCACTGGGATCAGCCACATGGATCCTGTGGGTGGGGTGTGTTCACCAGGGTCAGCCACATCGATCCCGTGGGTGGGGTGTGCTCACTGGGATCAGCCACATGGATCCTGTGGGTGGGGTGTGTTCACTGGGATCAGCCACATCGATCCTGGATTATGGGGTGTGCTCAGTGGGATCAGGCACATGGATCCTGTGGGTGGGATGTGCTCACTGGGATCAGGCACATTGATCCCGTGGGTGGGGTGTACTTGGGATCAGGCACATGGATCCTGTGGGTGGGGTGTGCTCACTGGGATCAGGCACATGGATCCCGTGGGTGGGGTGTGCTCACTGGGATCAGCCACATCAGTCCTGTGGGCAGGCACTTGTTCACCAGGGCTGGCCAGTGATCCCACTCGGAGTGATGTGGGCACGTGCTCCCGACGAGCCCCAGCCCATTGGCCCGTGCCGGCAGTGCCGTGCCCACCGTGGCGTGCCAGGGTGCAGGCAGGCATGTCCACGGGTCCTGCTGGGACCACTGTGTGCTTTTGGGGAAATATGCAAATATGTGCAGGCCTGTGCCAGATAGGGGGAGGCACCCTCGCTGTGCCACGTCACATCTATGCCATGCTCTGCACTGAACCACTGCCACGCCGAACTTGGTCCCCCCAGGGAGCCACAAGGAGGGGCCGAGGTGTCTGCCCCAGAGGGCATGGGAGTGTCAGTCCCATGGAGGATTGTGGTGTCAGTCCCACAGGGCATTGGGGTGTCTGCCCTATAGGGGATTGGAGTGTCAGACCCACAGAGGACTGGGGTGTCAGCCCCACAGGGGGTTGGGGTGTCTGTCCCACGGGGGACTGGGGAGTCAGTCTCACGAGGGGTTGAGATGCCCATCCCACAGGCCACGAGGGTTCTGCCTGCACTGGGGTTCCTGCTGGGGACTGCGGGGTATCCCCAGCTCCTGTGCTGGGTGTGTGGGGCGTGGGGTGGTGGGGCAGCGCTGAAGGCAGCCCCGGGGAGGGGGTGGACCTGCCGTCCTGGGGTTTTGGGGTCCCACGGCCCTGCTGACCCCCGCTGACCCGCCGCCCACAGGCCGATGCTGATCGACATGAGCCGGGTGTATCGTCAGAGCAACCTGGAGAACCTGGACCAGGCCTTCACCGTGGCCGAGCGGGACCTGGGCGTGACGCGGCTGCTGGACCCCGAAGGTACGGGCTGGGGCGAACCGGGGGGGGGGTCCCCAAACTGCCACGGGGTCCCCCCGTCTGACCCCTCCCTCTCCGCAGACGTGGACGTGGCGCAGCCGGACGAGAAGTCCATCATCACTTATGTGTCCTCCCTGTACGATGCGATGCCGCGCGTGCCCGAGGTGCAGGATGGCGTCAAGGCCAACGTGAGTCGGGGGGGGCCGGGGATGTCACCACCGCTGCCACCCCCCCCCCCCACGGCGGCCCCCCCGGCCCCCCACGTGTCCCCCGTCCCCAGGAGCTGCAGCTGCGCTGGCAGGAGTACTACGAGGTGGTGACGGGGCTGCTGCAGTGGAGCCGGCAGCACTCGACCCTCTTCGAGGAGCGTCGCCTCCCCGCCAGCTACGAGGAGATCGAGGTGAGGCCACCAGCACAGTGTGGGGACACAGGACAGGGCTGGTGCTGCTGGCACGGCACGGGGACGGAGTGGGACAGCGCTGGTGCTGCCAGTGTGGCACGGGAGTGGGGACTGGGGACAGATACAGGGATGGTGCTGTCACAGGGATGACGGGCCCCGGGAGCCACCAGTGCCTGGGGCAGCGCGTGGTGGGGTCCCAGCCGACCTGTGGCCCCGCCGGGGGTGGTTCATGCCTGGCTGGCAGCCCCTTTGCTGGCCCGTGGCCGTGGGTAATTGGGAGACCAGTCCACGACCACGGAGCTGAGCCCCCGCCGGTGCCAGCCTGGGGGTCTGCAGGGTGCGGGGGCTCAGAGCCCTGGCAGAGCCGGGCGCCCCGTCGGGGGGGCCCCCCTGACTCACCCTCCCTGGCTGTGCCGTGAGTCACCCGCTGGCAAAGCCCCGGCACAGCCACTTCCTTCCCGCCGGCTCTGCACGCATGGAAAACTGGAGGGGGGGGGGGGGGTTCCCAGGGGGGGTCAGCGGTGGGGGGGGGGCCCTGCTCAGCTGACCCCCCCTCCCCGTGTCTCCGGCAGATCCTCTGGCGCCAGTTCCTTAAGTTCAAAGAGACGGAGCTGCCGGCCCGGGAGGCCGACAAGAACCGCTCCAAAGCCATCTTCCAGGCGCTGGAGGTGCGCAGGCTGGGGGTCCTGGGGGGCTCCCCGGGGGTCTGGGATCCACGGGCTGGGGTCCTGGGGGGCTCCCCAGGGGTCTGGGATCCACGGGCTGGGGGGGCCTGAGGGGAGGGGCCCCGTGGCTGGAGGTTTTGGGGGAGCTGGGATCCCAAAGGGTGGGAGCTCTGGGGCTGGGGGTCCTTTGGGGCCAGGGGTCTTGGGGAGCTGGGGGTGGGTCCCAAAGGGATGATGGGGTCCCTGTAGGGGCTGGGGATCCTGGGGAGCCAGGGGTCTTGGGGGGCTGGGGGTGGGTCCCAAGGGGATGATGGGGTCCCCGTAGGGGCTGGGGATCCTGGGGAGCCGGGGGTCTTGGGGGGGCTGGGGGCGGGTCCTAAGGTGATGATCATCCCAGGGTGCCGGGGGTCCCAAGGGGATGATGGTCCCGGGTGCCAGGGGGGTCCCCGGGTGTCCCGTGGCAGCCCCCGGCACACCCCCGGGGGGGGTCACGGGCAGCGTCTGACATTTGGGGGGGGCACAGGGCGCGGTGCAGTCGGGGCAGCTGAAGGTGCCCCCCGGGTACCACCCGCTGGACGTGGAGAAGGAGTGGGGGCGGCTGCACGTGGCCGTGCTGGAGCGGGAGAAGCTGCTGCGGGCAGAGTTCGAGAGGCGAGTGAGGGGGGGGCGGGGGGGGGGGCCGGGCAGGGCTGTGCTGGCACCCGCACCCCCTTCCCGCTGCCAAACCACGGGGCTGGGCCGGGGTGGGGTGTCCCGGCCCCCCCCGAGGGGGAACCACAGGGCCGTGAGTCATCGCTGCTCTCGCTGGGAATGCAGCGGGGCCACTGGCCCCGAGTGTGGCACGGCCCGAGCACGGCACGGAGAGACAGGGAAATGGGGAGGGGGGCAACGGGGAGTGGGGTGGGATGGGGGGGCAGGGTGGGGGGTGAGGTGGGAGGGAGATTGGGATCAGGACGGGGATTGGGAAGGGGATGGGGAGTGACTGGGATTGGGATTATGGTCAGGATGGGGACAGGAAGCAAGACAGAGATGGGGATCAAGGTGTGAATATGGGGTGGGATGGGGGGGGCACGATGAGGATGGGGAGTGGGACAGGGAGCGGGATGCAGAGTGGGACAGGACTGATGCTGTGCACGGCCGGGACAGGTGCCCCCCGAGGAGGGCCCTGTCTGTGCTGACCATGTCCCCCATGTCCCCACAGGCTGGAGCGGCTGCAGCGTGTGGTCACCAAGCTGCAGATGGAGTCGGGGATCTGCGAGGAGCAGCTGAACCAGGCGGACGCTCTGCTGCAGGCGGTGAGTGACCACGGCACCGGGGGCCAGGGGGCCTGGCAGGACCCCCGGCCGTGCCCCCGGCCGTGACCCCACGGGTCCCCTCCCGCAGGATGTGCGGCTGCTGGCGGCGGGGAAGGCACCACAGAAGGCGGCTGAGGTGGAGCGGGACCTGGACAAGGCCGATGCCATGATCAGGCTGCTCTTCAACGACGTCCAGAGCCTCAAGGACGGGCGGCACCCGCAGGGAGAGCAGATGTACCGCCGGTACGGCCCGGGGCGGGGGGTTTGGGAGGGCTTGGAGGGCACCCCAGGGCGAGCAGATGTACCCCCGGTACAGCCAGGGCGGGGGGTTTGGGAGGGCTTGGGAGACACTCTAGGGTGAGCAGATGTACCCCTGGTACTGCCCAGGGCGAGGGGTTTGGGAGGGCTTGGAGGGCACCCCAGGATGAGCAGATGTACCCCCGGTACCGCCCAGGGCGAGGGGTTTGGGAGGGCTTGGAGGGCACCCCAGGGCAAGCAGATGTACCCCTAGTACCACCCAGGGCGAGGGGTTTGGGAGGGCTTGGAGGACACCCCAGGGCGAGCAGATGTACCCTGGTACCGCCCAGGGCGAGGGGCTGGGGAGGTCCCCACAGCCTGTCCCCATAGCCCTGTGCCCCCCAGAGCCCTCCATGTCTCCCTTTTTCTCCCTGGCCCCCGTGTCCCCAAAGCCCTGCGTGCCCCCCAAAGACCTCCATGTACCCCATGTCCCCCGTCTTACTTGTGCCCCTTGAAGCACCCCAAAGACCACCACGCTGCCCGTGCCTCACAACGTGCCTTGCACCCCCAAAGCCCCCCACGGCCCCTGTGCCCCGCAAAGCCCCCTGTGACCCCTCTGCCCTCCACGCCTCCCTCACGTCCCCTGTGCCCCCTGTACCCCTAAACCCCTCCAAGCCTTCTGCATCCCTTGCACCTCCAAAAGCCCCCCGAGGCCCCCGCGACCCCAAAGCCTCCCGCGCTCCCGAAGCTCCCCTGTTTCCCCTGCGCCCTCCATGTACTCTGTGCCCCCTCCCCGCAGGGTGTACCGGCTGCACGAGCGCCTGGTGTCCATCCGCACCGAGTACAACCTGCGGCTCAAGTCGGGGGCTCCGGTGACGGCGGCGACGGCCGCGGCGCCGGGGCAGCGGCGGCCGGAGCCGGACGAGGCTCCGCTGCGGTACCTGCAGGACCTGCTGGCCTGGGTGGAGGAGAACCAGCGGCGCGTGGCCTCGGCAGAGTGGGGAGCGGACCTGCCCACCGTGGAGACCCACCTGGGCGCCCACCGCGGGCTGCACCGCGCCGTCGAGGAGTTCCGCGCCAAGGTGGAGCGGGCAAGGGCCGACGAGGTGAGACCCCCGGGGTGTTGGGGGACCCCCTGTCCTTGGGGCCGATGAGGTGAGACCCCCGGGGTGCTGGGGACCCCCTGTCCTTGGGGCCGATGAGGTGAGACCCCCGGGGTGCTGGGGGACCGTCTGTCCTTAGGGCCAACGAGGTGAGACCCCCGGGGTGTTGGGGACCCCCTGTCCTTGGGGCCGATGAGGTGGGACCCCCGGGGTGCTGAGGGCCAACGAGGTGAGACCCCCGGGGTGCTGGGGACCCCCCAGCTTTGGGGAGCCTCCAGTCCTGGGGTCCCCCTGGTCCTGTGGCCAATGAGGCGAGCCCCCAATCCTGGGGACCCCCAAGTCCCAGGGCTGGTGAGATGAGCCCCCGTGGGCCGCTGCGGATCCCCTGGTCCTGGGGGATCTCTGGGGCTGCCCCCACCCCTGTTCCTGAGCATTTCCCATGGGGCTGCCCCAGGTGGGGCTGCCCCTGCTCTGCACCCGGGAGTCCCTGGGCTGCCAGGGCTTTATGCAGGTTGAGGGGGACTTGGGGGAGAGCTCTGCCCTCTCTCTGGACCCCCCTCGTGTCCCAGGGTGCCCTGGGAGGTTGGGGGGCTTTGTGCCCCAAGGGTATCCCCTGGTCCCCCCAGCACCTGCACCCCTGGTCTGTCCCCTTCGCTACCCTCCCTGTGTGCCCCCCTTGCCCTCACCCCCATTGCGGGGTGCAGGGGGGGCTCCGGGGGTGCTGCTGTCCTTTGTGGGGTCCCGGCACTGACGGTGTGTGTGTCCTCCCCAGACCCAGCTGTCCCCCGGCCCCCGCGGCGCCTACCGGGAGTGCCTGGGCAAGCTGGAGCTGCAGTACGCCAAGCTGCTGGTGAGGGACCATGGGGGGCACCGGGGGGGACCTGGTAGGGTGGGTGTGACATGGGAGGGGGTGATGACAGGGGTCCTGCCGGGGGGAAGGTGTGTGAGGGCTGTGGGGAGGAGGATGGTGGGCGGGGGAACGTGGTGGGGGGGGGAGGATGCAGGATGTGGGGGGCACACATGGGGATGAGGGTGGGGAGGTGCAGGACGTGGGGGGCACACGTGGGG